AGAAAGACTTGCAGTAATACAACTGAACGAGTGCACATCAACAAGATTCCATTGCACTCATTCAGGATTAGAAACACTTTTTCCTAAAGCATCAATGATTGTTAATGGTGGACAAGAGATTGTATCATCCACATAACCAAGGAGATCTATAGCTCGAAGGATATTCTGCCATTGAGTTTTCTAGATCACAAAACTTGTTGCATCAAGTTTGACAGTGACAAACAAAAACAAATTGGAAATTAACAAGGAAAGATTTGAATGAATCGAAGAGATTGAAAAGCTTGAAAGTGCAGCAATAGTGGATGTTGAAGCCATGAATCACTATGTTCATTAGAGCTCAATGCTCTAATACCATGAAGAAACTCAACATTCATTCATTTCGTTTCACAATAGATCAAAACAGTCTTTACATGATATGTATATATACATAAGGCAGTTACAACTAATCTATCTCCACTCAACTAACTAATACACACACACATACTCTAACAAACTCTTACTCTAACTAACTAACCAACTATAGGCTTGAGCTGATGATGTGGTTGCAGCTGCAACACTGATGATGATGATAAGCTGCAACTGTTGTTTGATATCTTATAAATATTATTTTGTTTGTATATTATTTAGATTTTCAGGCAACCTTTGTTTTAGTAATTGCACCAATATTTTGTATTGGTTTTGATTATTATTATTATTATTATTATATTTTGGTTTCATTCAATTCTCCATCTTTTGATTTCTCTTTATTTTCTCATAATGTAAAAACTACAACTCCCTCTCCACGCATTGTTACCTACCTTTTAATTTGCTTTTAGAGAGTCAATACATCCATCATTCATGCCAATACACCCGTCCTTCATGTCATAGGAAATCGAAAATGCATGACTTTTCTCTTTTATTTATTTGCTTGAAAATAATTTTCACAATACTAATATGGTAAGAGCTATCCAAGTATGAACTCCATTATTATTACTATTATTACTATGTGCAAGTCCACTCATTTGAAGCAAAACAATGTTGATGAGTAATTCATTTTGTTGGTTTTTTTTTCTTTTTTTTTTCTTTAAATTGGGTGTTACATATAGAATTTTGTTTATTTTGTGATATACTTTTGTTCTTCTTAACTTGCTGTCAAGAAGTATGGTTTGCCATCGAGATTGTCTCAGCTTGTGTGGTCTTCTCTTAGCAAACCTTTATTTAAAAATTTTATAATCTCTTTGTGGTACGTGTGAATCTTTGTTCAATTGTTTCTGTGGGGACATATTTTTTAGGTTGTCCACGTAGCTAAGATCATTAGTTGAGGTGCCACGTGGATGGATCATGCTGCTAAGATATGATGTGATCATACCAGAATTCGATACATTCTGATATTGGACAAGAGTCCTAGATGATTTGAGATTCTCTGTTTGGATAGAGATAAGACTCTAAGAGGAGTTCATTCTAATCTAAATAAGAGGAGTCCAACATAGATGTTATCCTTATAAAAGATAGAGTCCTATGAAATAAGACTTCTAGGAGACAACAGTACTGCTAGTTATAAAAATAAGACACACTAGTAGGTTGAAGGTATGCTTTTACTTGAGAGTTGTTTACTTGTGCTGATATTTTGTGAGATAAGTTGACTGACTTGATCGTTAGAGTGCCCTTGGGTGGACGAGCCACCGTTGTGTTTGTTGTCTTCTTGTGTGCAAGTGTTCGGCTGTTCTATTCTTCCGTGTGCTCTACGGCTAAATTCCTTAGAACTTGGCGATGAGATCTAGTTTGGTTGTGAGGTCAACAATCAACACCCACAGTTTCTACTTTTTAGATGATATCATAATGGTCTTACCCTTTTTTTAAAAATATATATATATATATACTAATTTAAAAAGGCCTGTACAAGGCACATGCTATTATTAAAATATGTTTAAGGTTTGTATTTTGATATCTTTTTAAAAATTAAAATATTATTTTTATGAAATTGAATAGAATAAATCATTAGATATATGATAGAATTATGTAGTATGATATCTATTATTTTTTGATTTATTATACACCTTATGATGTAGACTCCAATTCTATTATTATATCATCTTGGGTGAATTTATGAATCGTTAACATTTCTTCCGAATTTATTAAAAAAAAAATTATGGTGTATAACTTTTCTCAATTGATAAATATAAAATAAATATTGAGATAATTCTCTCATCTAAAAAAAACTATTAAGATAATTCACTGAACTAATAAAAAAATAAAAAAATACACATATGTACAAATGACTAGAAATGACTAATTTTTAGTTAGTTATACATAAATCATACTCACATAACAAATGACAATTTTTGTTAATAAGTAAATCATGAAGTAAATTAATAATTTTTAATGATATGTAAAATATTTTTTAGTTAACCATTTTGTTAATAAATAAATTATTAAGTCAATTAACAGTTTTTAATAAATTATTAAGTCAATTAATAGTTTTTAATGATATGATAAATGTTTTTTAATAAATAATTTTGATAATTTCTTATTATATAGGAGAATATTTTTTTTCATGATTATTATATTAAATTAAAATTTATAACAAACGATAATTTATTATAGTTTAATTTCTTTTTCAACAATGTCTTCCAATAGGTAAAAGTTACAAACAAATACACAAAAAGTTTTAATAATAAAGAAAAAAACAACCTTGACACCCTCAAACCGGTTTTGCAGTGCATCTTAGGCTATGTTTGGCAAAAAAAATTTAAATTAAAATAGTCACAAAAATATAAAATAAGTTAAAAAATCAATAAGACAAAATGTCAAATTCAAATCATAATCATTTCACTTTTCTCTTACAAAAATAAAAAAAACTAAAAAAATCTACCTCAAACGAGATTTTTTAATTCCAAACTAAAAAATCAATCCACATTTTAAACAAAAACTAAAACATGCAAATTCACATAAAATACGGAGAATGTACAAACACATGACTAAAAGGAAACAAATATGTTTAATAACTTATGCTGCATCATCCTAATCTGTAAATCTCAATAAAACAGGTAAAAGATTAAAAAAAAAAAAGAAAAACTAATTTAAACATTGTATCATAATCATGTAATCTGATGGAGACCCGTCAAACAGTTTACACATGCATACTGTCCACTAGTGCAGTGTTCAAAAGATTTGTCCATGAAAAACAAAAGAAGTGGCTTTGGGGCGTTTTGGCAGAAGTCAGTTTTTTTATTTTTTAACTTTTTTAAATCATATTCACTTTGCTTAGTTTTCATTTTTTAAAAATAATTTTCAGAAAATTCTACACTCTTATTTTTTGTGTTTTTTTGTTTTTACTGAATTTTTTAAATATTTTATGTAATTTTTTTACTTTTTAGACACACCTAACATAAATACACCTAAAAAGTAAAAAAATTGTAAAAAAAATCTTTTAAAAATTCACTAAATACCAAAAATACAAAAAAATATAAGAATTTAGTACATTTTTTGTATTTTTATGTATTTCTTAATTTTTTAAAATATTTTTTCACATTTTTTTTACTTTTTAGACACATCTAAGTAAGGTGCATCTAAAAAAGTAAAAAAAATGTTTAAAATTTTAAAAATATTCACTAAAAACAATAAAACACGAAAATCAAAAAACTCAGTTTTTAAAAAATTTAATTCAGAAAACTTAAACCAAACACAGTGATTATTTTTCTATTTTTTTATAAAAAAAGTTAAATCATATTATTTTTCTATTTTTTCGTAAAAAAGTTAAAATACTTTAAAAAAATTTTAAAAAATCAATTTTTTACCAACTCTATGCATTTCAAAAAATTAATTTTTCACCCAAAAAAAAAAAGACTAAGGAGTTGTTTGGGATGTTTTAAATAAGCTTATTTTTTATCTTTTTAGACTAAAAAATTAAGGAACAAAATATGAATGTTTGGGTTAACTTTTTGACTTTTTATAAAAAATATGTATTAAAAAATTATATAAATTAATACATAAAGAAAAATTAAGATTAAAAATTATACAGTTATAATTTTTAACTTTTGATAAATAATAATAACTTTTTAAATAATTTTTTAATTTTTTAATTTTTTTTTTAACTTTTCAAACTTTTTTATGAGAGAAAGAGTAATAATTATGAATTAGATGTGATATTTTATCTTATTAAACTAAAAAACTATTTTATTTTTTTGTGACTATTTTAACTTAAAAAAATCCAAAACTAAACTTTTCAAACAAGCTCCATAAACCCCTCAAATTTTCTCTTGTTGATCATAAATGAGAGACAAAAATAGAGGTATTGTGTGTGTTTGCTTGTCTGTGTGAGAGTCAAAAAGAGAGAAAAAATACCTAATAAACTCAGTAGATTGTAGAGGATAAAAACATTGCAAATATGTGGTGTAGATAGTAGATAAAGATGTCGTGATTGATAAAGAATGATAAACCCTTATTTCAGTATGTTGCTCTCGCCTCTTTCTCCAACCAAAATCAATTTTACTTCACCCATGTCAGATTCGTTGGACTCGTGGATTGGGTCTCTACTCTAGTTTCTTTTGCTCCCAATCCACGAATTAACCTCAGTATTTTGCTTTCCATTGTTTCCTTATTTCCTCTAAATATATATATATATATATATCTATATAATAAGGGAGAAGAGTTTTTAAAAATGTCCTATGTGGCAAGAAATTGTCATAGAGATACATTTATGACCAACGGTTCAGATCAATCTTAATCAAAATCTAAGGGTCAAAATCAAAATCTAGCATAGTCAGCCTCTTTGGATTCCTCCTAACGAGTACCAAACACACTTCCCTATCTCTCTCTCACAGTCGTCTTCCTCTCTCTCTCTTCTCTTTGGTTTTCAAATTTTGATCTCTTCTCTCTGGTTCTCTCTCTCTCTCTCTCTCTCTCTCTCTCTCTCTCTCTCTTCTACCCACTCTCCGTTCTTGGTTTTATGGCAACTTGGTTGAGATTTGAGCGCACTGTTTGATCAAATGCAAGGTAGATCGGTCGACGCAACCCAACGAGAAAGAGATCGGTATCCTCTTTGAATTTTTCCTCCCTTTTCTAGCATATCTAGGATTTCTCAGTTCATTTTTTTTTTCTTTTTCTTTTTGGGCTTTTTTTGTTTTATGTGTCTCTTTGTATACATACACTATGTTCTATAAAATGCCTCGCATAGGTCTTTGAAATATTTTTCTAAAATGGGTCTCCAAAATGCCTCAAAATTTTTATTTGGATTTTTGTTATATGCAACACGAGAGTGTAATTTTTTAGGGGGTAATCAAATGACCTCAATTATATGGGTTTGATTGTGTTTTTCATTTATATTATGTGATTTGTTTCACCGTTCCATTAATCTTTGTTTCTCATTTGGGTTTGATTGTATTTCTCATTTATATTATGTGATTTGTTTCTCATTTATATTGCCTCAATTAAAATCTGTATCTTTACCCCTCTATATTTTGTGTGTATCTCTTCATGCATACGCCATGTTCGGTAAAATGCCTCAATTAAAGTAGTTTATTTTCTTTTGGTTAAACCAGCTGCTTATATAATTCTATTTTTTTTTTGTTCAAATAGTGAGTGAATCTATTATAACAGGCCAAGTAAATGTAGTGTATGGTGGTAAGGTTTAGCAAAAATAGAGGTATATTCAAATTGGTGATACAAACAATGGGAGTTCGATGTTATTTTTAATAATAAACATTAGGCAATTTTTGGACAAGGGATAATGGAGCTTGCTTACTTATATTTTCTATTCTTTGGAATGACATAGGCACGGATTTATTAAGATTATTTGAAACTTTCATTTGCCTAAGATTAAAATTTTAAAACTTCCACTCCCTCTCTCTTTCTCTCTCTCTCTGATGCTTTTAATTTTATTTTTCGAGTTGTAGGTCCCCAAAGTCCATCAAGGACCAAGGTTGAGAGCTGCAAGTTTTCTCTATCCCAACTACTCTCTTCCAGTAAGTCTTTACTTTATTCCCATTCTTAGTAATGTTAAATTAAGTTCCATTTGGGTACTCTCTCTCTCTCTCTCTCTCTCTCTCTCTCTCTCTCTCTCTCTCTCTCATGCTTTTGTGTTTTTGTGGGTATGCTTTCTTTCATGTCTTGGGTTCTGTCAATTGATTTCGTAAACAATTTCATCAATATTTTAACAATGCCTTCATCAATTGATGAGCGGTTCTCTTTTTCCCTTAAAATGAGCTGTTTCTTCACTACATACATAGCCGTGGTGTGTCAACCTCTTAAGCAATTTTAGTGTTCATATTAATTCAAACATGCACAATATCAATATCAATATTGTGGCCTAGTTTTTACTACTTTTTTTTTTAATCCAAATTTTGTTTTTTGTTGTTGCAGTGCGTTGGCTACTTCCCATGAGCAAACCAAATGGATCTAAAAGGGTTGGTTCATATTTTGCTTATGGGAGGATTTGAATAGTTGGAGCTATTTGAATATATATATATTTTTTTTTGCAGCTGCTATTCGTAGCATTTCAATGCACCATGTTAACCCTTTAAAGGTATCCTAATTCTTTAATAGAATGCTTGGCTTCCATTGGGAATAAAATTGTTCAATCTGTTTTTAGTTTACGAATTTTTTTTTAAATTTAATATTTTCATTTCTAAGTTACTGAAAATGATAAATGATAAAACATATATACTCATTTCTTATTATAGAACATTTGTTTTGTCATATGGTTGCTTGGTCTAATTATTAGTTCCCTATTATTTGTCATATGTCATTTTAGCTACCATTTAGTAGGTTTGTTTATGTAGTGTTGAATGAATTTTTTTTTTTCTTCAGTTTCTTTATGGATAACTGAAAAGGAGTGCAGTTGGGCATAATTGTTTGTGTTTCTTTATGGTTTTGATTTCATTTATATGAATATGAAATGTGTTGAGATATATGTTATTAGAATCATACGATTTGCGATTCGATTCAGTGGGTAATCAATATGAACAGGTTGTATGAGTCGCAAATAGCCATGAATCTAGGTGAATCGTGAAGTGAATTGATTCGATTTGCTAAAATCAATGTTTGACTTTTTTTTTTAGTTTTTTATTGTTGGAAAAGGGTTCAGACAACCTTTTTAAGGTCTTTAGGATTACTATATGCCATCTTTTGACTTTCTCCCTCCCTCTTTTGTTAGTTGTTCATATCTCTTTATTCCCCTTAACATTACATCCACAAGTTAGTAGAGTTTTGTTAGTTTTATTTATAGATTTATTTATTTTTGCTACTGTTGTTGAAATATATATATAAAATTAAGATGAATCTTCCTTTCGAATTCTGCAAACCCTTCTGCTCCTTCATCTATGTTGGACACACCCACCTTTTATTGTAGTAGTTTTTTTTTTCTTTTTTTGTTTGTTTGTTTGTTTTTTGTTGTTGTTGTTGTTGTTATCCAAGGAATTAGGTTTAAGTATGAAAGATCTTTTCTCCTAAAAAATCAATGCACAATTTTTTGTTGAGTTGGAGTGTTGTAGAGAAATTATCAATTCATGTAAGGCTGATGTTTTTATTCTTAATGCTTTGTACATGTGACGGAGGCATTGAAATTTGGTGAGGAGAATAGTTCTGAAGGCTCCATCAATAGAGGTAATCAAGATTCCATCCTTTTTTTTGCTTCTATTTTTTATTTTTTGTACATTCATGTTGTAAGTTGATTATTTAATCTTTTACTCGATTTCCATAGTTCAAAGACCAACTTCCTCATGTCACTTGGAATAAATTACAACCTATTTCCCGTTATTTTAATTAAATTTATTGTTATTCATTCCATTCTAAGGATTTGGGTATAGTTTTGCAATAATTGATGTTCAAACTAGTTGGTTTTACCATTATATAGTTTATGCTACTACAATGTTCACCTAATGCTTGATAAATTGTTTCTCTATTTGATGTGTTTGATGTGTTTATTAATTCACAAGGAATGGAAGGTGAGGGGAGATTAATCGAATGATCAAACTTTTGGTTGAGGAAAAAGTTCCCCTTTGCTAAACTTTTGATTCGGGTGAGGAAAAAGTTCCCTTTTTCTTGACTGGGTTGAGTTTATGAATTTATCTATTTTTTGGATAATGTTTTCTTTGCAAATTATTTTTATTATTTTTGGGAAAGACCAAAAAAATTAGCAGTTTTTTGTTTTTTGTTTGCATTACTTTTAAATAGTTTGAATGCTCTCAATTGAATCTCAGTTGTGAGTTTATGAAATCTTTCTTTTGAGATTGTGGTTTGAAGATTTTTGAAACGGATGCTCCTTGCATTGTGGTGCCAAAGATATTTATGAAGGTTATCAAAGAAAGAGCATTTTTCTTGGTTAGTAAATCTCTCTCTTTTTCCCTCTATATGGATGTGTCTCTAAAACATTTTTTTGATATATAGTAGTTTCTCGTGTGAACCCCACATATGTATGTATGCGTAAAATATTTGCTACATAGATTAAAAAATAGAGAGGGGGGTGTGTGGGTGTGGGATGAGGGAGAGTAGAGATAGAGGGAGGCAAACAGTGCAGATAAATGAATAAAATGGTGTGAGACAAATTGTTTCTTGAAAAGTTATCTGCCTAAGTGCTGAATTCCATGTCTCTAAAAGACTAACATTCTCAATTTTAGAAATTAAATATATTTGCTGAATCATTAGTGCTTGATGATGGAGGGAGGCATTTATAAACTTTAGTGCTTGATAATGTATTTAAGAACTAAAATCTAATAATGTGTTTAGAACTTTCAATTAGTGGTTGATGATTTTTGCTTTTGCAACTATTATAGATAGTGCTTGATGTTTTGAGATTGGTGTAATTCATAGACATGTATGCTTGATTGGAGGGTTAGTTGATTGCCCAAAGAGAGGTGGTTTTGTTGATTAAGGTTTAGTTTTTTCTATTTTTTTTTACTTTCTATTTTTCTCTCTCTGTAATTGGTAAGCTTTAGCAAGAGAGAAGTGTAATACGAAGAGTTTGAAACTTAAGCTTAGAAAAGTAAAATGAGTGTTGTAACTAACTAATACTGCAATATCACTCAGACTTGTAATATGTTCATGAGTTTGCTAATCATACATTTACTAATTGATACATTTTTCTTGCTACATTTTGGGCTTCGAGTGGCAGTGTACGATTTTTCTTTCCATGCCTTTTCTTTTTAAACATTACCTATCAATAGTTGACATGAGAGATTATATGTTCATGAGTTTGCTAATCATACATTTACTAATTGATACATTTTTCTTGCTACATTTTGGGCTTCGAGTGGCAGTGTACAATTTTTCTTTCCATGCCTTTTCTTTTTAAACATTACCTATCAATAGTTGACATGAGAGATTATATTGCAATCATTGAGATTATATTCTTTTTGAATTTCAGCTGAAGTTCAAATGAGATTAACCTCCTCAATTAGAACAAGAATGATTGATAGCTTGGGTAAGTATAGCAGTGATGCTATAAGAAAGGAACAATTTTTCTCTAAAATTATTTTGTGAATAAATTTTTCATGTACTACATAAAAGATTGGACAGGAGAAGATTAATTCCAACATTATTTCCACCGTGCCTAAACTAGTAGTTGAATAAGGAGAATGCAAAAACCCATAACTAAAAGGAAACAAACAAATTTCTTTAATAACTTATATTGCATTATCCTAAGCTGTAAATCTCAATAAAACAGGTAAAAGATTAAAAAAAAAAAACTAATTTAAACATAGTATCATAATCATGTAAACTGATGGAGACCCATCAAATAGTTTACACATGCATACTGTCCACTAGTGCAGTGTTCAAAAGATAATACCATCCATGAAAAACAGAAGAAGTGGGTTAGTAATCAAAAGTCAATTTTTAATTTATTTTTAATTATATCATTTTTTATGTGTTTTTTAAAAAAATAAAAAAAAATCAGTTTTTAACCATTAAAAAAATAATAATAATACACTCAGCCCATAAATTTAATTCTCAATTTTATTTGGTGAAAGATTTATTAGGCATTCAAATATTTTATCCAAAATGACAAACTTAAACAAGATAATCAAAATGGCCCTCTGTATAACAAAACCCTAACACAGTCGGCGTCTCTCTCTCTCTCCTCTTTCTCTTTCTCCTCAACCGACGAATCACTACCGTCATCGTCAACACCACCACCACCTACTCTCTCTCTCTCTAAAACACACACGCTCTATATATATCGCGGTGGTGATGGAGGAAGAAACTACGCTTCCGTTGGCTCTTCTCAATGCCAGAGTCGGCCGCCTCGCCGCCACCCTCTCCTGTCTCAGCTGAAGCAACAGAGCACCGTCATTCGGTTGCAGTTGCTCATCAATCCAAAGCCAAACCCTAGACCCTGCTGCTTTCGATCTCAGATCTCCGACGCGAACTTCCTCTTCCGCCTTTGTCGCAAGCCTCGCTGCCTCCTCCTCTTTCCGATGGCAGCTTTAGCCATGGACGACGTCACAACGGCAACTCTCTGGTCAATACTCCACTGCGTCTAAACCAGACCTCTCTCCTCTTCATCTTCTGCCACCCCCGATCTGTCGTTGCTATTGATCTGAACAATTCTGGTGTCGCCGCTCTCCGTGGATCTTCCTTCTCCGATAGAAGCTATATACATATATATGTTTGAATCTATATATATATTGCTCTGTTTTTTCTTTGTGAAGTTTTTTCACTTTGAATTTGATCATACTTAAACGATTTCTAGTTCATTTCTTAGCATATTTGAGTACTAGAAGCTCATATGTGTTTTAATCAAAATTTTTGATTTAATTCTAGTCCAGAGGCTATAGATTTTATATTTTTTTGTTCTCATTGATTATATGAAAGTATAATCAAAAAAATTAAACAGATCACTTTTAAAAATTTTGACAAATTGCTATCTGTTCATCAACAACAAATCCTTATATGTTCATCAACAACATCACCAAATCATATCTGTTCATATTCATCGTCATCAACAACATAAAAATAAATAAATAAATAAATACAACATATTTGTTGAGCTCATCACCGAATATTATTTGTCTGTCATCATCAACATAACCTCAGACCATATCTTTGAAAAGATTTATTTTTTTCTTACATCGTAACTATTCTTTTTAGCATATTTATTATTTTTTTGTTATTTTTTCCTTTTATTGTAGGATGTGTTTGGCCTTTGAATCTTGTTCAGTTGTTGATTTTAATATAAATGTTTTACATGTTTAAATTAAAAATTTGAAAAAAAACTCCAGTCTCTTACTCTCTCATCTCTTACTCTCCCAACTGCATCTTTTGTGTAAGACTATTGTCTAGCTAAAATTGTGTCAATATTTGGTGGAGTGAAGTTTGGAGTGAAGGTGATAGGGACATTTCAAACCCTCAATCTCTTCCTCTCTCTTCTTCTCCGTCCAAAATTCCAGTCAACATTTTATACCCATTTCATCATCTCTTTGTTTCTCTCTCCACCTGGCTCCTGCAGCCAGTGTAGCATCAAAAAATGTTCAACTGCATCTTCTATTGTCTAGCCAAAATTGTGTCAACATTTGGAGGAGTGAAGTTTGGAGTGAAGATGAAAGAATCATTTCAAACCCTTAGTCTCTTTCTCTCTCTTCTTCTCTGCTCAAAATTTTAGTCAACATTTCAAACCCATTTCATCATCTCTGTTACTCTCTTTTACTCCCTCTTCTCCTAGCATCAGAAAATTTTCAACTGCATCTTCTGTATTAGACTCTTGTTTAGCCAAAATTGTGTCAACATTTGGAGGAGTGAAGTTTGGAGTGAAGATGAAGGAGAGCAGTCTTCACTTTGTATATGTATATATATGTTGCCCTCCATGCTACTATTCTCAAACTTGCAATTGTTGTTTCTCTCTCAATAGAGGATTTAGGGTCTCAAAAAAGGGTTTGTTCTTATATTTTTGTTTTTCTTTTTCAGATATTTTGTAAATTCCATTGAACTAATAGTAATATTTATGTTTTCTTTTAATATGGTCGAATTTTATACATGAGAAATGGGAAGCGAGGATACATGCATACTCTCCGTCCTACTCAACTTTCTGTCAATGTTTTCAAGAGGACATCCAACAAATTACACTTTTGGTGATTTAAATTTTTAGTCACCAAAAGTCATATTTTAGCCGCCAAAATGTTTTGCCGACTAAACTTTTTGGTCGCCAACTTTGTCACTAGATGATTGTCGGGAAATGTATTGGCGATTAAAAATTATTTACTCGAGGGCTTCAATTGGTGACTAAAAATTATTTAGTCACTGAAAGTCTTCAATTGGAGACTAATTTTTTAGTCACCAAAAGTTCATATTTTTAGCGACTAAAATTTTTTGTCACCATAAACTTAACCATTTAGGGCGACCAAACTTTTGGTTGCTACTTTTCTTTTTTATTCGTCTTATTTCTTTTGTTTAGTCAACAAAAGTGTTTTTTCTTTCCTTTTTTTTTTTTTGGTTACTAAATCATTAGTCGCCTAAAGTCTTTTGTTTATGGTTATTAAATATTTAGTCGCCAAAAGATTTGTTTCTATTTAATTCTTTTTTTAGCTATGAACTATTTAGTCGCTAAAAATATTTACTCCATTTTCAACTACCAATTGTTTAGTCGTTAAAAACATCATTTCATGTTTTTTTTTTTTAAATCAATTTGTCCACAACTTGTATATATCCCATGCAACCAGTAATAGGTATACAAACAAAACAATACATATATATTATCACCTATTCCACAATCTGCATCTATTTCACTTACAACCATCTAAACAAAAGAACAACTTTTAATGTCAACATTGCATACAAACCAAGTATATTCCAACTAAAAATAGTAATTTCATACAAAACAAATAATCATACGAGCTACCGGTGACATCCATACACCAACTATATATGAAATCAAACGACTTAAATCAACCTCAACAAGAGCAATCATAACTGTAGCCATCATTATAAAAGCATCCTTGGCATTTACAGTGGGAGTCCCCCATTGCCATGGATATGGAAACCGTATCTTGCATGTTGAGAAGTAATAGATGCCCTTATAACAAGTGCAGCATAAAGCCAAAGTTGGTGGGAGAAAATCATTTGTAGTGCTTAAATAATGTTCATGTCCCCCAAGAACATGATATGAAACACAATTCATTTTTTGACGTTAGAATTATGCATGTAAAACCTTGACCAAATGCAAAATGAAGAAAAATAATGGAAGTTAAATAAAGGGACACTTACCAATCAATCGTAGTAACTGGACTTATTTACCTATAGGTCCTTACAGATAAATTTATCATTGTAAATTTATTCATAAAAGCAAGAGAGACTGATAAACTTAGCACATGTTTGATGATCAAGTTTGT